CCGGCTTCAGACCAGCTCAACGTGTGAATGAGTTCAGTAATTGAGAGTCAAGGACACATGGGCATGTTGATGAACTGAAGTCCTCGTCGTTAACCCGAGGGTTAACCTAGAGTTGACCTTCTTCAAAAGGTTGTTTGCATCTCAATGTTGTGATCACGAGGTTTGAATAATACGGACAATAATAAGAGTCAAATGTGAAAATATGACGAGCAAAATAAATGCCATTTTACAAAAGAAAATACTTAAATACAGCAACAAAATAATTTGAAAAGTTCATACATGATTCCTTGCTAATTAAAGAGCTTAAAACAAAACAGATCCAAAGGATTAGCTAAAACTAGAAATCTGAAATAATCACAAAAGATCAGCAACAGTTAAAGTTAGCAAACACCAAACAATAGCAGCTTAGTTCTGAAAAGCTAAGAGTAAACCAATTAGTAACAATATCAACTGAGCGGAATTAAAAAAGGTTTTAGCTAATGCTGAATCTAAATCTTTAGGAAGCTGGAAAAGTTTGAATATAGTTTTGGAAAGTTCTTGAATCTGACCAGGGTGAAGTTGAACAAAGGGAAACAAACAAAGACCAAACCTGGGATTGTTAACTTTCTATTCCCTTTCTTTGGCCCAACATCTTCACCTCGAGCTGTTTTGGTCCAGCTCCGAACTCTTGAGAAAAACTGGCCTCCCTCCACATCTCATTATCTCTGTTAAACTTTTTTTTTTTTTTTACTTATTTTTTTCCTTTGCGTCTTTACTCGCTTTTATACGGCCGCATTTAAGGCATTGCTTAGAGTTGTCTCTGAAGGTATTCAAACCAAGTTCAACAATAGAGGGGCAATGGGGGGGAAACCTGGACTTGAGGATTTAATGAGTCGGTTGCTGGGGGTGGAAGGCAAGTGGGGGAGAGAGAGCCGAGTGCATTCGCAGAGAGAAGAGGGGTAAGGAAGTGAGGGTGGAAGAATGCAGGAATGGAGCAGCAGGTACCATTATAGTGGTGGAGAAAGCTCCTGAAATACTAGAGCTGGGGCGTGCGCTCTGATCAGGATGGCAGTGAGCACAATTACCTTCTTTTCAAATCCTTCAGTGACACTGCAGGAGGAAGGCGGACTTTGAAAGTTGAAAGGCAGGAGCTCGCTTTCAACCTCAAACGCCAAGCAGGAAAGGGCTCTGAAATTTGTTCAGTGCTCCCCATCCACCATTAGCTTGTTTCTTCCTCTCGCCTCCAGGCATTTAAGCGCTTTTTGAAAAGATGTTAAGAAATTCAATCACCATAGAGAGAGAGCGAGAGCAGGATGGTTCTTTTTCGGTGTTTTTTTGAGAGAGGCATGCTTTCCTCTGGTCCACAGAGGACCGGCCTGCTGCTTTTGTGTTGGGCTGAATAGACCTGCAAACTGGTGTGGACGACTGGATGCGGCAACCATGGGAAAAGAGGAAATAAAAGCGGAATAAAAAATGAAAGGACGGAGGGGGAGTGGAGGGGGAGGAGGTGGTGGTGGAGGTGGTGGAGGGGAACAGGTCTGCTGGGCGGATGGTCAGAGTTAGAGAAGTGTTGCGAGGGCTGAACTTTTCAAAGTTGCCCGTGTTTACCTGCGTCTGCTCCGTCTTTATCATCCCACTTTTTGACAGATGCTTGACGTGCTGCGAGGAGACAAAAGCTCCTGCAGCAGAGAGGAGAGAGGAGAGAGGAAAGAACCTTCAGAGCGGCTGCTTCTCCTCCGTCGGTCAGAGGAGTCAATTGACCCTTGTGCTGCTGAGTGTTTGTTTAACCATTTAAGGTGCTATGAAGTCAAGTAATGAAGCCCCTAACGCTGGTATATAGTGGAATGATGAACCCCCTCCCTGTGTGAGCTCTCCATGGTGACAGAAAGGGAGGAGGGGGTTGGAGGTGGGGGGGGCTGGTTTTACTGTGACACCACTGTGATTGAACTGTTAGCCGCTTGACCTCCTCTGGTGGAGGGAGTCATATCTGAATAGGAGTGGGGGGAGGAACACTTGGGCCAGAAATAGAGAAAGATTTTAAATAAAAAAAAAAGTTAAAAATGCAAGCACTGTTTCTTGGAAGTTTCAGTTTTAAAATAAAATCTACAGTTTATGATTTGGAATTTTATTTTGATTCGTTTTACACATGGAGAATAAAAGGGGTTTTTACAAGATGGCGTTTTTTTAGCCTGTGACTCACGTCCAAAAAAGTTAAAAATGCAAGCACTGTTTTTTGAAAATTTCAGTTTTAAAATAAAATCTTAGATTGTGTTACGTACTAGGTCGTATGAAAACTACAACTCTGTCGGTACTTTACCCGAAACACTTCAACCACTGGTCTGCTAAAATCTCCACTTTGTGAAAGTCCGGTGATGAATCTATTTCTTAAACATAAAATAAAAAGAAATCAGCATTAAAGTCGGGGAAAAGAGCTCATCAATATGTATGACGCTTTTTGAAACTTTCCCAGATGAAATGCTAGATTCTCTCAATGTGAAAGAGCTAAAAGGGCTCAGAGCTGAGCGGCTGCTCGACACGCAGCCACGCACCAGCTCTCGCTCCCAGCACAGTTTACAATTTTCACTTCATTCGGCGACATGCGATGAACCCAATTCCAAAATCCCTTTATGTTAATATTGAGCTTTGCAGGCGCAGACCTATTAATCCAGCTTTAACCGTATAAGTGCCATTATTCCCGTAATAAGATCACTGGCTGTGCAGTATGGGATTAAATACTTATATCATAACTGACACTGTCATTTCCCGCAGATGAGAGACGCTCGCCTCTCTGGCTGTCAGTTCCGCGTTAAGAATCCTTGAATCTGTTGCCAGTTCCGCGCCGGGGCAGCGCTGTGGCCCGGATGCAGGTAATGGATGTGGGAGAGTGAGGGGAATGGAAACGGCAAAACCGTGGGCTGCCGCCGCCGCCGCCGCTCCTTCCTGCTCGCTCCTCGTCTCTTTCAACCTGGTTCCCCCCTCCATTGTTTTTCCCTCTTAACCTCCCCCTTTTATGGAGGCTCCTCTCGTCTCATCTGTGTGAAGTGGATCAGCACTACGCTGGTGCTCATCAGTGCTTAAGGTAGTGCTCTTTAATCTGGCCCGCTCTTCTCTTCCTAATTGGCAGTTGGATTGCAGAGCGTGGTAGGGGAGTCCCTTGTTGCTCTGCTGCTATTGGCAGCAGAATACTTATGTCAGGTGTGGCCAACAGAAGAAATACTACTGCAGTGTACTGATATGTACTCCAAAATGTGTAAAAAATATCAAAACTGACACCAGCGGATCATCCGCTCAGACGTTGCCGTGGCGACAATAAGGTCAGAGTTTTTACACCGGTTTTCCTTTGACATTAAAACGTAGAGCCAATGTACAACAGCAGTACTGCAGTACTCTGAAATGGTCATAAGTACTGCTGTAATGCAGAAAATAACACTAAATAAAATGAAAAGTTTTCACTGCACCATGGGAGTTTCCTCAGCAGTCTAGGCAAACAGCAGCACCACTGAGGAATAGCTAAGTCTAAACTTTAAAATTTTCTCCAGAACCCACAGGAGTTGATACCAGGTGCACACCGAGTGACTCACTTTACCACCAGAGGTCAGGAACTTGACCCTTGGTGGTCAGCTCTTCCGCGGCTGCAACTTGACCACCGTTATTATTTAAGAAGATCCTGAAACTGAATCTTCTGTTCTCTGTCCCTGTGCTGTGACGATAAATGATATTCGGATTCTGCATCCACCGTGTGATGAAATATAAAGATCAAACTTTATAAACGCTTGTTTTAAATGACAAGATCAAATGAACTGAGTGAGTCTGTGAAGTATCACGTCACAGGAACGTCCAACTCCAGGTCAGAAGGCTTGGCTAACCCTTATCCCCACATGTGCCGAGGGCAGGTCAAAGGTCACGATCTTTCTGCCAAGGCTCAGCCCTTGAACTCAACTCCTTTTTTTAAACAGCCTTTACCCATAATTCCAGTGAGCCTCCCCCCCCACCCTCTCTCTCTCTGTCTCTCTCTCCAGAGATTTTGCCCTTAGACGTAGCGAGAGAAAGATTTAGTTTCCGAGCAGAGAGACAGAAAGAAGGAAGGGCAGAGTTGACACAAGCCATGCTGCTGCTTAACGGCCAGTTAGGAATGTAGGCCTGCGTTTCCTCCTCCATGGGAATCAAATCTTTTTAGAAACGTCAGCCGCAGCTGAATTCACCAAGAGGCTCAGAGGAAGTGACGTCACCACAGTGGGAAATGAAGGAGATTTTTTTTTGTGGTACTGTTTCACCGTCTGACTCTGAACTCCCACATTTGGCACCACAGAAGGTAAAACCCCGCCTGGATTTAGTCCTGTGCTGCTCAGTAGGGTTCAGGTGTACACCGCTGAGCCTCAGCTCCTCCTTTTGAAAGCTCACTCTGTGTGGACTGAATTACTGAGCAGGTGTGAAGCGGTTCTTTTTGAGTAAGAGATCACAGAGGCAGTGAAGGGTGGCTCTGGCCCCAAGGATGGGCCACAAAAACCGCTTTATTAGGCCCACATATGGGATCGAATCCCTGGCTTTTGGTAGCCTACGTCTGGTGTCCAAAATAAGGTTCCCATTTGAAGCTTCAAGTACATGATCTTGGAGGCAGCAAGGCTGTATTTCAAGAAGTCAATCTCAACACCAGGAACCAAAGTCTTTTGAGGAGACCTGCGGAGGTGATTTTAACTACGTGTCCTGAACCAAACAATATTCCCCCAATTTCTAGCACAAATGTTCACGGTCCAATGGGTCTGAAAAGCATAAGCTGGGTCGGCTCCATTAGGAACGGGTCAGTGATCCAGTCCAAGCCCGATGAGCCCTCAAATAATCAGGTACAAAAAGGCTCCAGATCCTGTACGGTGTTTGGATCAGTAATCTTCGTTCACCGTTGTTCACCGGGCGGCTGGGCGCGGTGGACGGTTTCACACAGTGAAACTGCAGCTCCTTTAAAGATCTAACACCACTCATGTTGGCTTCTGGTTTGTATTTTTTTCTCTCTTCTCTTCTCACAGAAGATGAGAGTTCAGGAACACCGTACCATCGTGAGAGGCGTAACGCCATCAGCTCCCAGGCTCCGGCCAACGAGGAACCGTCCACCTCCACCGAGGAACGCCCCTCCCTGTTAAAGAAGGACCTGCACGGGTCCCTGCCCCATCTGGCTGATCACGCCCTGCCGTACCGTGGCACTCTGTTCGCCATGGACCGCAACGGCTACTTAGACCCGCACTATAGTAAGTCCACTAACGCTGGGGAGGAAATTCACCCCGGATGTTTAAGAAATTGTAATGATTATAGCACCCAGACACTGCTGTATGTTACGTTAGGTCCAACACAATGTGTGTGTGTCTCTCTCTCCCTCACACACACACACACACATACTTGTCTTGTGTTGTGCTGGGGAACTTAGTATGTGGAACGACCAGCACGGCGTCTTAATTCCCTCATTAGGGGCCTGTCTGAGCGCGGTGCTGCCTTTTCTCTCATCAACACACACTTCAAAGCCCTGTTGCAGCGCCGATTGAGTCAAA